GGCAGTGTGTCCTTAATAAGGCAGTATCTCAGGTGCCCTCTAACTCAGCAGCAAAATAAGAACAAAGTTTTTTAAACGTTTCAAACTTCCACATGTGACCTCTTTTATTAAAGCACACATTTGGAGTTAATGCTACTGACCTGAAGGATGGCGGGCTATAGTAAATTCATTAGCTTTTCCTTACTATTAATCCGAAGAGTGTCATAGTTCACATTTCTACATAGTACCTATCTTAGAATTGTTCTAGTTTAACGAATGTAATCTCAGCTTGGATGTTCTTTTGTGCTTCTGTTTGAAAAATATTGGTCAAGTTATTAATGTTCTTGTGCAATCATAATTTTTTTCTTTTCCTAATTACAGTTTTCTTCTCTGCTTAATTTATTGGCTGGACTTTTTAAACAAGATAGAGAAAGTTAAATTGGCATTGTCAATTTTGATTTCAGGTTAATAATTATACTATTTAGAAATGCAGAGAATCTTTTTCAGACCATTTTTAGAGATTTGTATTCTTAAAAAAAACCCTAATTATTACCTACACAGCTGACTTATTTAAGTCAAATACTCTTTTCCTCAGTTGCATGGTCAATTTTCTTTTATTGCCTAGAAATTTTGATTTGGCTATTGGCTAGGGTTTACCTTTACGTATGAGAAAGTACTGTTGTTTATCTGGATAATTTATATTGTACAATTTATGCTAATTAAGGAAACTAGATGATGCCAATTAAAGTTGTTCAATTTGGGGAAACCAACAACCTTTCAACAAAAGTTGGAACGAGGGGAGCTCTCTTCAGCCTGGCGTGTCCATGGTACTCTCTTTAGTGAAATATGTAGTAGCTACAATTTATAGGAGAATTTTGGAGTGGGTGAGATTTTCTTGAATTCATTAACAAAGACTTCATTGTTAATAACAGAGGCATGACCACTGAACTAAATTTCCACTGATATAATTATAAAAACCTTCAATGAGTACGTATTTCTGTCATACTCAAAACAAGCATACTTATTTGATGGTCAGTTCCATCTAATGTGTCTGATTCCTTTATTTATTTATTTATTTATTTATTTATTGGTTTTTTGGTTTTTTTCCGGTACCAGGAATCGAACTCATGACCTCGTGCTTGCCAGGCAGGCGCTGTGCCACTGAGCTAAATCCCCAGCCCCCTCTGACTCCTTTATAAAGGGGAGATATGTTCCAGTACCATCCTCTGCTGGCTTAAATTTTAGTAAAATATGATTGTAGTAGGTTCTGAGCAACACTCAGGTTTTTAGTTTTTGTTGCTTAGAAAATAACAGAGGCAGTATTGACTTCTTTTGAGCATTGCTGTCCGCTCCTGTTGCTGAGGATGGATCCAAGGTCCTTGAGCATGCTCGACAAATGCTGTACCATTGGGCCATGCCTGCAGCTCTTCCATTGGATTTTTACAAATGTTCAGAGCAAACATAGCTTATGGATGAATCAGCTAGAAAAGAGGAAAGTCTCCCAGGTTTAATCATGGTGCAGCATTAAGTACTTACAAAACTATCTGCCGCTTGGCAGTGTGGAGGTCATCTGTCCTTCAGATGGGACAGGAACGGAAATGGTTGACTGTATGTGAAGGACATATGTAGAGACACTGCTCTGAGAAAAACAAAAAACAACAAAAAAAACATTTATCAGGAATATGAGGAAACCATTCAGTAGGGAAATCCAGGCAGTGGTGCAATAGATTGCTCAAAGTTGTCTTAGAACTGTTAGTACTCTTGAAACTTCATTTTGAGTTTTTAATTCATTTGTACTTGTTTTTGTGTTGTTAGTGAGAATAGTCCATTTTTGAAAGGACTTTTAAGTATCCTTTAGCTTTGGAGAATTTTTACTAGTGTCTTTTCATTATATAAAGCAAATCAGATTGTGTGGTTATCTCTACCCAGTTTAGTTGTATTCTTTCCTTGCCTGTTTTCATTCATTTCAAATATGTTTTCTGATGGCTATAATTAGGACTTTAAATTTGATGTTTATATTGTTGTTTCTTGGTTGAACAGCTCTAAATAGTGTCATGTTCTTCATATTGCAAAAAATAAGCAAATTAGCATACTTCTTTCATTTTTACCAAATTAATGGCTTTCCCTTGTTATTATTTGTGATATCTATATTATAGTTTTGAAACATAATCAAATCTCTTACAGATGAATAAACATTACCAATCAATTACTGCATCTTACAAATTATGTTATGTATTCATTGTTCACTGTATAACCATTTGAGACAATAATATAATGCTGTGATATTAAAGCTTTTTCAATAGGAAAATAATTTCCTGTTAATATCAAATGAATCTTCTTCATTTGTTCTCGGCTTTGTTTTCTTCCCCAGGTTCATTCCCAGTTGCCATAGTTTCTTCTATTCAAGTTGACACTTTCTTGGATTCCTTTCTTATTTTTGGAGTGATTTTTTTAAAGGAGTTCAGAGAAAAATTTCTATGTCTTTAAATATTCCAGAATGCTTTTTATTGGGGAATCACATTTGAGTTTTAGTTTAGGTGGATATACATTCACATTTTCAAGACATTTTGTCCATCTCATCTTTAAAGACATTCCACTATATTCTGATATTCAGTGGTGATCAAAAGAAGTCTGATGTCAGTCTGGTTATCTCTGGGAATCTTCTTTTCTCTCTGGAAGTTCTTAAAATTTTCTCTTTACTCTTGACATTTTCCATTATTTTTCTATGGCTGGCCATAACAAATTACCACATGTAGTGGCGTAGAGCTGAAATGTGGTCCCATGAGTTCTAGAGATTAGAAGTCTGAAGTCAAGGTGTTGGCAGCACCGCGTACGCTGAAGGCTCCAGGGAGGAACCTGTTTGTTGCCTTTCACTTCTCATCTGCTGGTGCTGACAGTGTTCGGTATTTTATGGCTTGCAGCTGCTGTAAACCCATTCCCTACCTCCGTCTTTACAGATATTTTTCCTTCTGTGTGCATCTCTGGCTTCTGCTCTTCTTACAACGACCCCAGTCAAATTGGATTAGAGCCCAGCTTAATTCAGTATGACTTCAATTCAACTTGCTTACATCTTCAAAGAAATGATTCATTCCCAAAGATAATCATATTCACAGGTATTGATGATTAAGACTTCAGGCTACTTTGGAAGGGTACAATTCAATCTATAAGAGCATTCTAAGATCCCATTCTAAATAAGCAATATGCTGCTTAACCATGTCTAAAACACAATAAGCCCTTTCGGTTTGGAGACTTACACCTGCCTTTAGCTCAAGGAAATTTCTTGATCATTTCTTCCCATCCATTAAGTCTGTTATTTCTTTCTGTAACTTGTATTTGTTAGTATATAATTTCCTGGGTCTATACACCCTACTTCATAATCTCTGGTTTATTTTCCCTTTTATTTTTTGCATGCTTTTTTTTTTTAGAAGTTTCATTGATTTTCTTTTCCAGGTTACCAACTTTATCCTATCCTTTTCCCCACACCTTTTGAAGTGTTTACTTATGCATAAATCTATGTGATTACATTTTAATGTCTGTGATGTCTTTTTTTTTCTGGTTTTCTCCTTTGTGCATGCAATATATACACAAATTCTCTGGGGACAATAATTAGCATTACTTATAGACTTTTTGCTCTTCCTCGAATTATCTGTTTCCATTGGGGTCCACTGTGGTTGATTTTTCTTTGTGATCTTTGGGGGTGTCTTTGTAAGGATGAAGGTCTGTAATAATTGATATGGAGGCTCGCATGTGTTTCCACTGCAGTTTGGAGGGTCTGTTTTTCTACTAGAATCCTCACATACATGACAGGGCTGACTTGGGGTTCTGAACAAATGACATGCCGACCTTCCCTTTGTGTGCATGCATGTGTATGTGTATAGTAGAAGACAGACTGAGAACACCAGCAAGTGTTCAGTAAAATAAGAGAAGCTTTGCTCAGGAGTTAGTTTGCGGTATATTTTCTTCTCTGTTGGAACTTCCTTTTCTGACCTCCCCTTGTTCACAAAACCCTTATCTGATGATCTTTGGCGTTACTTCAGGCTCTCCTCTGCTTCAGTGTCAAGTCCTAACCCTTTTGTTTGGCGCTCTTTCCAGACAGGTATTCTGATTTCTTCTACCTTTATCCTCTGGGTAAAAATTGCTGCTGCCAACCGCTCTGTTTATGCTAGTCTCAGGGACGAGGTCTTTACCTTTACTGCACTTCAGAGGAGATTCTGTAATGAGTGGCCCAGGTGGCTTTCCGGGCCCCGTGACACACCTTGTAATGGTTGGCCGTGTCCTAGAAGACCTGTTCTAACTCGAATCTCTTGTGGGGAAGTTTCTTCTCTTCCTTCTCCGGAGGATTGGTCTCATCCTCACCCTGTCTCACAACGACGCCTAAGCATTCCTCCTTCCTTGTGGCAAGCAGTCTCAGTTTTCACTGTTTTTGTGATAGAAGTTTGTTAAAATACAAATTTCAGTGAATCTTTGGGGAAAAAAAGACATGAACTATGTGTTGTCCTCCAATGTGGATTTTTTACAGTTTACAACTTTTTGTATCTACTCTCGGATGCTACATTACCTACAGTTCTGTGCATGCACACACTCTCACACACACACACACACACACACACACACACACACACACTCCTCACTCACACACTGATTAAAGCAGTGACTAGATTGGCAGGATTTTACTGTGTGTTGTCTGTCTGCTTTCTTATTTTCTTTGAAACCTGGCAAAGTAAAAATTTACATGGTCGTTTTACAGGATTTTTCCGCACTGATGCTGCGTGGAATGCATTTCCACCTTAGCCACTGAGAAATCAAATAACTTCTTGAATGTTTAATGAACCCAATTCAGTAATTGGTCTGAAGAATTGAAATACTTTCAGGTTAAAAGCTGTTGCAATTATATAAAACGATTTAATGGCAAGGTTTAAAGATTCAATATTTTTTTCTTTTTTATTTATTCTATGTTTGGATAATGTGGAAGAAGCTTTAGTCAAATTAAGAGGGAAATATTTTAAATCTTTCTTTTTCAGCAAAAAATCGTGGAATAGCCATTCCAGTGGATTTGGACAGTCAAGTGAATACGCTTTTCATGAAAAGCCATTCAAATATGGTACAGAGAGCTGCAATGGGCTGGAGGCTTTCAGCTCGCTCTGGACCGCGCTTTAAGGAAGCTCTTGGAGGGCCTGCCTGGGATTATAGGAATATTATCGAAAAGTTACAGGTACAATGGCAACATGCAATGGCATTAATATTTTCTAAGTTCTTCTTTTAAAAATGAGTGTTTCCTGAAGAAATTATGGTTGAAAATACCAAATTCTTGGTGGGGCCAAGCTTTACAATTCCCTACTGCCACTGGCTTTCTAAAATGCATATCTTTCAGGTAAAAATTACTTTGGGTTATTGTTAATGACTCTATGTTATTTACTAGGTTCTGATATCACAGCTGGGGTCCTGTAATGGAGGCAGTGAGTCCAGTTAGGTTGCTTTGCATTAATTCAGGCAAAAGATGGTGCAGGCTTGGCTAAGAGGAAGGTAACAGCAGTAATGAATTTTAGGCATGGTTGCATTCTGGACATACTTGGTTTAGGACCATCAGGACTTGGCTGATGTATGGATGAATTGTAGAGCAATGGAAAGAAGAATCAAGGATGACTTTGGGTTTGATATGATTATATCATTTGCTGAGATAGGAGGAAGAGGTTGGGGCAGAATTCGAACCAGGAGGTTTCTTTTGGGAATTTAAAGTTTGAGATGCTTATTTAGACACCTAGTGCCAGTTCGGTAGTTGGATGTGTGAGTCTGGACAAGTGTAGAAAAAGGTCAGTGTGGAAATATTAATGGGGGGTATTAAAAACATAGAGTTGGATGGGATCTCTCAGAAGAAATGACATATGTAGATGAGGAAAGGACTCAGACCTACCAGAAATTGGTAAAGGAATGGTCAAATATCAGTGGAAGATAAAGTGTCACAGAACTCAAGAGCAGACATTGTTTCAAAGAACAGGATGTAAGATACATAGCGGTAGCTCTGTAAGATGGAGATTGAAAAGTAGCCACTGATTGTAGCAGCAGAGTGGTGATCCCAGCTCACGGATGCTCAGTAATAATGATTACTAACATTTGAAACAAGCAAATGGCTCTTCTAGGCATTCACCTTTAACCCTCACAGCAAGCTCCTGTGATTGCTTGTATCATTATCGCATGTTTCCATGTGGGGAAATAAAGACCTACATTACATAGTTGGCCCAGGATCAAGAAAAGAGGTAAAGACAGAGTTTCTACCAGAGCAGCCATAGCACCATTTGTTCAGTAAATAAAGAGACAGTATAAAAAAGGTACATTTCAGTGATGTTTCTCTGAACATACCTGGTCATACTTGCTAAGCATACTCTCTTCCTGTCTTGCTATAATATCTAGGTTTCTCCTTTATGTTATTTCCACCTGGTAGACCCTTTTAACTGTTAGAGGAATTTTTCAGAAAGCTTATTTAGAATAGTTTGCTGAAAGGGAGAGATAGTTCACTCTTGAAATCTGTCCATAAGAACTGAGGGGGGTGGTAAATCCCATTGAGCTTCTGTAGATGCGAATAATAAGAAGTTTTTTGCTTAGCAAAATCTGCCATAGCTGTGGGTGAATAAGTTGTTGCTTAATGTGAGAAGATTTATTTTCATCTCCTAACAGTTTAAAACTGAAAAAGGGATGCTTTAACTATTAAAGACTGCTCGAGTCTTTAACTATTAAAGACTGCTCGAGTATTATTGTTTATAGTTAAATTTAGTACTATATCAGTTAGGAGGCTTCCCGCTTTGACTATGGTAGTATTCAACTAAAAGTAGCTTGAACAATAAAGACGTCGCGTTTACATAGCAGAAAACCTGGGTGACTTTTCCCAAGTTGGCTGATTGAGCAGCTTCATAGGCCAGGGCCCTGCAGCTCAGTGCTGGCTGTCAGTTTAAGGCTGGTAGCCCAAGATCACCTGGCAGCTACCTTAGAGGCTGGATTCATACCCTCAAGCTGCCTTCAAGATAGGAGTTTTAAAAGAATCTTTCTGCTCCGCAACACATACCTCACTTGCTTGGCAGACCTCACGTGATATCTCATTGGTTGGAACGGTGTTATGCAATGGTGCTGAGGCCAATTGCTAGATGAGGAAAATGAAATGCCCATGACTGGCTTACACGAATCAAGTTGACTGAGCTGAGGAGGCTCATCTCCCTGGGAATGTTGCTGTCAGATTCACAAGCAACATTTACCAAGGAGTGGGGCAGAAAGGCTGTTAGGTAGGTGACCAAGAGTTTATCAATAAGTATATTGTGAAATGCCCATAAATGTCATTGAGCCCTGTACAGTATTAACATGTGTCAAATAATATACCTATACATTTTTCCTTTGGAAGAAATCATTAGTTCTGGGTGACTAAAGACAGTGAAAAAAAATTAAGCTGTTCTCCAAGTGTGCCTCCAGTGTATTTCATTTTGTCATGTGGATTGGTTGATACATTGTATCAATTTGGGAAGTTTAACTAAGCGACTCAGTAGGGGGCCAGGGTCCTCACTTGGTAAACATCCTTGTCCTGTGCAAGAGGAGGGCATGGAGATGGTGTGAGTGCCACACCCTGCCTGGGTGGGGGTGGCCTGCTTACAATATAAGGGAGAAAAAGAGGCTTGCTTCCTGCCTTCTTTGCTCTTGCTGCTTTTGCTGTCTTTTGCTTCCTTGAACTGTTACCCCTGTGCCACACCACGCTGCCTTGGAGCCAACTGATTATGGACTGAACCCTCCACAAACTGTGAGCTAAATAAATTTTTCCTTCCTTAATGTTGGGTGTCAGGTATTTTGTCTCAGCAGCAAGAGAAAAGTAACTAAGACATCATGTTTCCATTACAGTCATAGACACTGCAGAGTTCGTACAGTGGCTTTACTGAAGTTTCCTCTTGCATCCTTAGAAATCATACGGTTACTCACCCTTCCTTTATCTTACACTAGAAATGGAAAACAAAAACAAAAACAAAAACAGACCAAAGACCCAGGCAGTATTTACACATAAACTCAGTCTGTGAAAGCACAGATATCTGGTGCCATGGAAAATACAGCCCATCTTCTCTAGAATTCCTCGATCTCATTCCTGATGAGTGTTTCTTAGGTTTGCCGAGTCTTCCCGCAATGAAATGTGACTGAGGTCTTCATGTGGCTTCTCTGGTGCTTTGTGTTGTAGGATGTAGTGGCCTCCTTGGAGCAGCAGTTCAGCCCGATGATGCAGGCTGAGTTCTCTGTATTGGTCGATGTGCTGTACAGTCCAGAGCTGCTCTTCCCCGAGGGAAGTGATGCCAGAATAAGATGCGGCGCTTTCATGTCCAAGTAAGTGAATACAGCCTGAGGGTCTGTGGCTGTCTCCAAACTGAGATAGCCTGTACTCTTCCTGCTTTTCACTCTTTTGAGATTTAACAAAAACCTGAAAGGTATGCAGAAGGCCTAAAATCCCTGTTAAAATATGTTCCTCAAATAATTAAATGGAATCATTCGAAATTTTGTTCTACTGAAGATCAAGTTTTGCTATTTTAGTAAAATGTACTAAAGTGATTTGTGCTATTGGACACAAAATATTGTGCCGGATAATACTTAGCTTAAAGAAAATGAAAATATTCTGAGAGAACAAGAAAACCTCAAAAGAAATTTCTGTGGTCCAACAAAACTGTTTCCATGTATTCAGATACTCATGTGGAAGAACCTGGGGTGGAGGTTTCACAGAGGCAGGCTTCACTTTTCTTGCAAAGAGAGCTTCTGAACACTTACTTTTTTCTGCCTGCTGGACCTGACCACGGGAATATGCAACACCTTGTCAAGACTGAGTAGGTCTAAAAGGAAATCACTGTTATGACTGAGGTTCTAATAACCTTCACCATGGGCTACTTCTTTAATATGAAGTAGATGTCATTTAAAAGTATCACCACTCAGGTATTAGCTGGTCTGTACATTTTAGGGGGCTGTGATCTGCCCCTCTTCCTCTTCTGTGTGTCCTGGGTCATCACTGATCAGGTTGGCTGTGGCACTTCCATATTGCTTCTTAGACCCTTACTCTGTCCCATGTCCTCGTCATCTCTCACCTGCTTCTCATTCCTCTGTTTTTTTTGTTTGTTTGTTTGTTTGTTTTCCGGTACCAGGAATCGAACTCACGACCTTGCGCTTGCCAGGCAGGCGCTGTGCCGCTGAGCTAAATCCCCAGCCCCTTCATTCCTCTGTTTTATTTGCCTCACTGTCATTGGTGGTACCTTCCTCTCACCCAGAAAGCAAAAGTTTTTTTTTTTTTGTTTTTTTTTTTTTTAGTCATACAAAATGTATAAATGGAAGTATAATTTAAAAATATATTTCTGGTTTACTTCATTTTCTTAAATAAAATAGGATTTTTTTTTCTGCTAGCATATGATCGTTGCAGGTAGCTGGAAATCACTGTTCTTGTTCAGGTTGAATGTTTTGCTTTAAGGTTGATCAATCACACAAAGAAACTCATGGAGAAGGAGGAAAAGCTGTGCATCAAAATTCTTCAGACCCTGCGAGAAATGCTAGAGAAGAGAGACAGCTTTGTGGAAGAGGTACTTTAAAAAACCTTTCATATTTAAAAATAATATAAGGTTTCTAGAGTGCTGCAATGTATGGTTTACAATTAAACGATCACTGTAGAGTGGCCTAAATATGTGGTTTATTTGTTTTATAAATTCTGTCTTGGATATGTATAGTTTTCTTCTTTTTGTTTCAGTAGACCAGATGACCTTTTAAAACAAGGGATGGAGGTGCTTCCATAGGTTTTGTATAAAGTTCTGCTTCTTATTGAGGATGTCTATTTTGGCATCTGTTGATTTTTTAAAAATTATAATTATACATGTTATTTTTGATAATATTATGCCAAGTATTATAAAATAATGCAATTTTTCATAAATGAAATAGTTTCTATTCTTATCTGTGTTAAGTTCTTCTCAGGTGCCTTTCAGGGAAATATCAACTTATAGATAATAATTGTCAGTCTGTTATTAAAAATGACAGCTCAGGCGCTCATTAAGAGGTAGCTAGCAGCATTTTAATACCCCAGGTAATACACTGAATTATAAAATATAAATCTAGAGGTTTTTATAATTTTGAGCTGCATCTCGTATTTTTCATATTAGGTATCAAACAAAATTTGTACTATGTTCCTTAAGAACTTTTTGATCTGTTTCTACAAATACTAATCATCTGATATCTTAAAACTGTAACGATATTTATTAATTTATAAACATGCTAATTCCAAAAATAGAATAGTGATTTTGAAATGCATTCCTATGGCAGAGGAAAACACAGTGAAATCTTGGTTACTGTAGCAGGGGTGTTGCTTCAGAATACTCCATCTGAATTGTATGTGGGTTTAGTAATCAAGATGCCCTCTGCTTTGCTTTGGTTCTCTTCATCATTTAAACTGTATTTAGAAAATAAAGTTTTGAAATAGAGGTGGTCAATACAATTTTAGCAAACATTTCTTGGACATAGGTTTCAAAAAAATGTTTATAAGTTTGAGTAGTATGTTAAGCTTTTATAAAATGGTAACCTTCCTTGGGATTTTTTGTCATCTTTCTCTGATTTCTTAAAATATTACTTGATTTTGACTGAAGTACTAGATCCTGAAGTAGAAAAATCAAATCAATATACTTTTTGAAGGGATTTACAACAGTAATGGTTTGTGTTTAACTGGAGATACAAAGCAAATCTTCCAATCTGATGTGACAGATTATTATTGAATTACCCTAAAGGAAAATAGGAGAGAAATCAAGTAAGATTTTACTTGGAGTAGTCCAGTGTATTTTAATTACCTTCCAGACTAACATCATGTGTTTTCTTCTTTCCATTCCTGCTGCCGTCGCTAGTTCGGCTTTCATTTCTGTCCAGACAACCCATGTCCAGTCCACCGAGACCTCCCTGAGGCAGTAGGACTGCTGTCTTCACAGCTTCCCAGGCACATCATGGGGCACGAGGGCACCGCAGGGGCCATTAAGATGAGACTGGGGGACATTCGCTCATTACGCAGCTCATATACTGTGGTCAGCTATTCAGTGCTGCTTGTTGTGCTAGGAGGTACTAGAAATACAAAATGAATGACCCAGCTTTACAAGTCACCAATGGGTATAAGTCACCAATGGGCTAATTGATGTGCTGCTGTAATAATGGAGGCAAGAGATCAGGAGAGCCTTTCAGAAAACTTTAGGGACTCCCCACTGCCAGGACAGTTCAGGTCCTCATGTGTCCTGTCTGCTTCTTTCTCCTGCCTTCCTTCCCACTGAATCTACAGAACCTTCACCGCGTACATCTGCATCTCAATGCATACATCCGCATCATGGATTGCTCCCTCTAAATGGGGCTCAGTGCCCCCCACGTTATTTTCTGTGGAAGAGCTGATGGGAATTAGGAGCTGTTCCGACAAGTAGTGATTACTTTCTCAACAGAATTACACAAATGCTTCAGGCTGCATCTGGTTGTTTAGTCCAAGCTCTTTGTTTGATAGATAAGTGTTGCTGAGGTCCAGAGAGGCTACGTGATTTATCCGAGGTCACATAGTGAGGAGCAGAACCAGGGCTCAGATTGGACCTCCTGCCTCTCTGCCTAAACTTTTTATTTCCTAGATCACAGGCAACTTTTACAAATTATATATACTGGTATTAAGGAAGGTCAGTGCATTTCTGTCTGGTAGATTATGACTCTTTATAAAAAGGTTTTTTTTTGGAAGTACTGGGGATTGAACCCAGGACGTTTGTACTGAGCTACACTCTTACCTCCCACACACCCTTTCACACCCTTTCTCTATTTTTTTTTTTTTGTTTGTTTGTTTTTGCTTTGGTCTTGCTGAGTTGCTTTTTGTTTGTTTGTTAGTTTTGGTGCTAGAGATCAAACCCACGGTGGCTCTCAGAATGTGAGACAGACTGTAACATCCCAAGTAGGTAAAGGTTCTGTAAACCTCTAAGAGGATATTAAAGATGGGAGAAATAAGGTCATTTAACTAAGAAAAGAAAAACCTGATTGGAAACTTACAAGTATTTTAATGCATAATTATCTTATTTATTCATTCACATGTCTACGAAGGACAAAATAAGAAAAAAAAAGTAGGTGAAAAATTCTTGGACTTAGACAACTTCCTATTTCTGAGTGCTTTGGAATGAGAAGCATGTCTCTACCAGTGGAAGAAGAAGTCGCCCCACCTTCTGGGAATTTTAAGGAAAAGCATTTCAGATGCACAGTGATTCAAATATTTATGTGGTAAAGAGACAGGACGAGATGGTCTCTGCACATTGTCAAACAGCTGGTGCTAGTGGAGGCGGATAATGACGGGTTTGGGGGAGACAGTACCGGGTAGCAGACTCAGAAACTGGTCAGAGCTACTCCTCTACAGCTCCTGGGAACTTTCAGAAAAGACCCCTAACTTTTAGTAGAGGGATGATGGATGGCTATGTTTTCATAATTGTATGAGTTTGCTGTTTATCAAAAATGTATTGGCTTGAAACTATACAAGTGTGTGATCTTAGAGAGTTTCAGGTCAGTGTTGAAAATCAAGGTGTCTGGGAGGCTCGAGGGAATTTATTTCCTAGCCTTTCTAGCTTCTGAGACCTGCTGTATTTCTTGGCTCATGGGTCTTTCCTCCGCCCTCAAAGCCAGCAGTGCAGCAGCTTCTTCCTTCTCCTCTGCTGCTCTTACCCCAGCCACCACATCTCCTTCTTAATTTATCCCCATGTGCAAAATCCCTCCTGGTACGCAAGGTAACCTGCTTATAGGTTCTGTGACTAGCAAGAGGTCCTGAAGGCTGGAGCATGTTTGAGGAGGGCCCATCCGATTATCCGGCCTGTCCTAGTGATCCTTTAGTGACAATGAGAAAGAATGTCTAGAATGTACATGCTGGCTTTACCTGTGGCCCATTAAAATTACCGTGCAGGACAGTTTCAATGCAAATGAATGTAGCACACGTATAGCACTTTTCTAGTTTCAAAGTAGTTTTGAATATTTTGGTACCTTTCAACAGCTCTAGGGAGCGTGGAGAGCAGGCAGTGGTACCTGCGTAGTGAAGCATTTCCAAGGGATTTCTCAGAATTGAAACGAAATACTCACTTCAGAGTTTTTTGTTTTGTTTTGTTTTGTTTTGTTTTGTTTTTTAAGACTAGCTGGTTTTGTTACATTCAGGACTCGCCCTGTTTAAACTTAAAATGTCAGTTTAAAAGGACATCTTCGTATTTCTTTGGTCCTTCTGAAGATACATGAAGAAACGAGCTCAGTTTTTCCTACCATACTCTCACAGCCTGCTTTGACACAGTGTGGTGTGGGATTGTACCCACCAACCACACAAGCAGTGCCGCAGTGGCTAGCACCAGCCCAGTGTTCTAATTCCTAATTGGAGGAATAACCTAATAACCGATAACCTGATTGGTTCTGACACCATCTGCCTAGAGATAGCGTCACATCCCACAGGTTGAGGATTTAGTCCTCAAGACCTCACCCTCTTCAGTGACAGTTGTCAGCTTCAGTCGCAGGCTCGAGTTGTTGTGCTTGTGCCTTTGACCAGCCAGCTCTAAACTGGGATTCCCGCAACCTCCTCCACAGGTGGAACTGACTTGTTTAGAGCGCCTCATGGAGCTCAGGGAAATGCTTCCATGCATTTCTTGGGTTATGGTTAAAGAAAGGATGCAGAAGAATAGCCAGATGGAAGATGCAGGGGTGGGCTGGATATGAAAGAAGGGTTATGAGCTCCTGTGCCCATTCTGGGTGTGCCGCATCAGGGAGCTTCTGCATGGTCAGCTGTCCAGAAGCTCTTTGGGCTCTGTATTCTTGAAGTTTTTTTGTAGGGGAGCTTCATAACTGATCATGGGTGGTTCAGTCACTGGCCATTGATGATCAGCTTAAGCTTGAGTCCCAGTGCTCGCTCTGGAGGCTGGGAGGTGGGGATGTAAGCTCCAGCCTTCAAATCCTGTCTTGGCCTTTGGGTGACTGGCCACATCATCTCATTAGCATAGGAGAAGGACACTCACTTTGGAGTGTCCAAGGATTTTACGAATAGGATGCCAGGACCAGATGTACATTTTGTAGTATCACAGCCTGTGACAGGAAGAAAAGTGTGTGTGTGTGTGTGTGTGTGTGTGTGTGTGTGTAGCTGCGCTGGTAAAGTAGGCCCATGAGGCATACATTCACTTCATGGTTGAACTTAATGCCTAAATAGCAAATTTTAAACCTTGGGACTTGAAGTTTTCTGATTTTGTTGTCTTTCTTTGTGTGGTATTTTAAGGAAATATGTTAAAGATACATAGTGTGACTATGCTTTGTTTTGCAAGCATTTATAATTTCTAATATCTTTGAGTACCATTCTAAATTAATTATGCTTAGGGATATTCTTTTGTGTGTGTATTTCTTGCTTTGCATCTAAAATGCTGAGAGGTAAGATGTAGATGGATAACAGCTGAAAAGATTCTTTTTTTTTTTTTGGTTTTTCTCTGGTACCAGGAACCAAACTCACGGCCTTGCGCTTGCCAGGCAGGCGCTTTGCCGCTGAGCTAAATCCCCAGCCCCTAACAGCTGAAAAGATTCTTGA